CAGGACACATGACAAGGTACTAGAGAAGGACTCCTGGGTCTTGGCTGTCTGTGCTGAGTGGTAGATAATGATGTGCACTTGAGATTCTGTGTGCGTGGAACATGGGAGGGGGTTCTGCAATCAGTGAGCTGAGTCACAGGTCCCTACTCCCTCTCCAAATTTGGCACTTTGGAGATAATCCTGAATAGATGGGGCCCTGAGGTAGGAGAGAGTCCCTGCTCTCCCTTTGCATTGGTGAGGTCTTCAGAAGACTGAGACTGGTGGGTAATGTCATAAACCACTGGCCCTACCCTTTCCCTCTCTGCCTTGACAGGGCCTCTTCTCCCCTGATTCCCCCCACCCCAGTGAAAAGTGGTCAGCCTTGCTGAACAGCCTCACCAGGCCACCTGCAGTCATGGATGTAAATGACCCCAAGCTCCAGGAAACCCCAGCCTTCCCCAGAAACCCCCAGGCCTGACCTGAACCCAGCTCAATCCTGGTGAACCAAGAGTCTGCCGCCAAGACTCCCCCAGCATGGGTGGGCAACAGGGTGCTGCCAAAGACAGGACTGTGGTTATTGACATGGGCACCGGTATCTTAAGGTGGGCTTCGCTGGACAGTCCCTACCCACCTACACCGTGGCCACCATTGTGGGCTGCCAGCCCAAGAAACAAACCACTGAGGGACAGCCAGAGCTGGGGAAACATTTATTGAAAGGCAGCCCACTCACCACACTCGGAGCTGAAGCTGGTGCAGCCTGTCCGCAATGGCATGTGGGACTGGGAAGCAGCCGAACTCATCTGGCGCCACCATGCTGGAGCATGACCTCCAAGTGGCCACCCAGGACCACCCGCTGCTCTCTCTGATCCCTTCAGCCCACCACCAACCGCGAGAAGTTGGTGGAAGTGGCCTTTGAGTCACTGTGCTCACCAGCCATGTATGTAGCATCCCAGTCAGTGTTGTCAGTCTATGCCCATGGATGTGTCAGTGGGCTAGTGGTGGACACTGCCATGGAGTCAGCTGTTCAACGGTGCCTGTCTATCAGGGATTACAACCTGCCCAGGCCATTGAGCGCCTGGACCTGGCCCGCACCCCCTGACCGCCTTCTTAGCAGAGATGCTGCTGGGATCTGGCTTCCAGTTGCAACAGCAGGACCTGGACACTGTGGAGAACATCAAGCACCGTTACTGCTACGTGGCTTCAGATTTCCAGAAGAAGCAGGCACAGATGGACCAAGACTGCCAGAAGTCCCTGAAGCTACCAGATGGACGTACTGTCACACTGGGAAAGGAGCTGTTCCAGTGTCCAGAGCTGCTTTCCATCCCCCAGAGATCCCAGGGCTGTCACCCGTGGGCCTCCCCACCATGGCGGAACAGAGCCTCTGCAAGGTGCCCCAGATCTGCGACCTGACATTGCCAGAACGTGCTGCTGTGCGGAGGCTCCTCACTTTTTACTGGGTTTGAAAGTCGCTTCAGGGCGGAGCTGCTGCTCTCTCTGCCCCCGGAGACCCACGTGGTGGTGGCCGCCCAGCCACCAGAAACTTCTCGGTGTGGATCGGAGGGTCCATCCTGGCCTCCCTGCGCGCCTTCCAGTCCTGCTGGGTCCTGCGGGAAGAGTATGAGGAACAGGGTCCCACATTGTGTACCGCAAATGCTACTGACCAGCGATAGGGTGGGAGGGGTGTGGACAGTAAAGCCTCCCAACCTACTCAGCTCTGATCTGTGTCCTCTGAGCTACTCCATCTACCTAATCCCACCCACACACTTCTTAGGTTCTGACCCTACCCAAAGACCCACCCAACTGAGATTCCCCTAAAAACATCTGGCCTAAAGTATTTCCCGTGATCTATTCCTTGAGAGACCTCAGTTTTGACCTCTAAACCTACCTCCCCCATAACCAACCTTTAACACAACACCCTCTTCTAATCCTGTCAATCAGGAATCTTTAGGCCACACACACATCCAAGACACCCTCAGGTTAGAAAGACACACATTGGCCAGCCCCCAGACATCCTCAGATACTGACCCCTAGTCCCACCCCATAACAGGTCACTTTGGATAAAAACTTCCAAGAGTCCCCTGGTCTCTAAATCCCCAATCCACACCTCTGATAGTTTCCTCAAACGCATCCCCCCTACCCCATAGGGTGCTCCACAAACCCTTCCAGAATTCTTCCATGACTCTCCAACCCCTAAGTGTAATCCCATGATCTGAACCCTATTTTCTAATCTTCCCAAGTCACCCTTTAGGTTCCACTGGTTCTCAAAACCCTATCCTAGTTCACCCACAGACTCTGCACAGAAGTGTTGAGTCTTCATCTGCCACAGAGACCCATGTTCAGACCTCAAGGGTCTCCCATACAATGACCACTAAAGGATCCCTGGTATCCAAAACTCATGGCTGAAACTCTCCCCTCCCCACCTCGTGATTTGTTTCCTCAAACCTCCCTCACAGGAGGCCCTTTCATTGATTTTCCTGTAACGCATCTCCTGTCCAGACCTCACAAAGGACACCAAGTTCAAGACCTCAAAACCAGGATTGATTCCATTACTGTAAGCTCACACCCTTACTCTGTTTCCCCCAGAAATATTTACACCATCTATATCCCCAGGCACCATCTGACTCCACTCATCCCATAGACTCCACACACAAGTGCTGAGTCTCCATCTACCCCAGAGACCCATGTTCTAACTTCAAGGCTCTCCCATACAATGACCACTAAAGAATACCTAGTATCCAAAGTTCATCTCTGAAACTCTCCCCTCTCCCCCTCATGACTTATTCCCCCAAACCATCCACACATTTGCCCCATCATCAGTGTTCCCATAAACCATCTCCAATCCATACTGTACAAAGAACACCAAGTTCAAGACCCAAAACCTAGGATGGCCCCTTTTACTGTAAGCTCACTGTTTCCCTCAGAAATACTCCATACTGTATCACAGGACCCAATCTGACCCTACTCACTAGCCCCTCAAATCCTCGCAAGAAAGCTCTGGGCTTCCCAAATTTAGACCCTACTCTCAACCTCAGGAACTTCCTATGTTGACACCATTAACATAAGCCTTCCTCCATGTTGTGACTTCCAATTCCCCCCACAGAATCTCTTCAAAGACACATTTCCAGAGTCATACCACGTTGAACTCCAGGACGTACCACTCTGGATCTTTCACAGACTTCCTACAGCCCACCCCAGGAACAGTCCCCAGGCCCTCTCCTATCAGTCCAGACTAGGATACCTAATGATGTTCTGAGAGCTTCCCAGTCCTCTGTGACACTTAGGCAAATACTCTAGTGAGAGCTCCTATCTGACACAGTCTCCCTCCACCTGCTCCCACACAGGTCCCCAGGGCCAATTGTCTCAGACGCTCCAGCCTCATTTCCTTCCATTCTGTTACAAGTTTATTCAGAGCCAAGGACCATCTCCACCTACATCTCATATCCTATTTCTGAGACTTACGCCCTCCATCCCACCTGAGGAACATCTGCCCAGTTTATCGGTACTATAAACACATACTGCCAGAGTTTACCCAAGTCCTCATAAGGTCCCCAGGTCCCCAGTTCCCCCAGGAATCATTTATTCCCTCATCAGTCATTACACAGCATCTGTCTACGTTGCCCAGGCTGGTATCAATATTCCCACTTCAACCTCCCCTCCCATGTAGCTGGGACTACAGGTGTACAGGTGTGTGCTGCACACAATTCCTAACTTTTTAGACCTTGCCTTCTTGCTGTGTTTTTTTTCTTTTTTAATTATGTGTGTCTCTACTGCTGTCTGGTTCTCTATATCTTTCTCTCTCTCTCTCTCTCTCTCTCTCTCTTCTCTCTCTCTCTCTCTCCTCTGTCTCCCCCATTTCCCCATGAACCCATCTGACTGCTCCCCCAAGTTTTCCATCAGAAAACAGTAATGGGTGAGGGTCCTGCTACCCAACCCATTCACTTCCACTGGAGCCTGGGGACTGGGCTAATTTGAGTCCTCCATTTGGGGAAGGGCAGACAGGCCAAGATCCTCAGATCACAGTCCTGCTGAGTTGGAAACACACACACACACACACACACGCACACACACTGTCATGGGGTCCCCTTCCCTTAAAGCAGCTTCAAGCTATGGATATACAAGAACTCTCCCCCTCTCTGCACCTGCTTGTTTAAGGATATAAGCAGATACTTATTCTTCTTCCCACCAGGAGGCAGCACATCCAAGTTCAAGATGCCAAGGACTGCATTGAATTTAGTACAAGGTCTGAAACAAGCCAGTTACCCAGACCTGAAGCAAAAACCACCACAAGTGAGAGGGGAATGGGTAGGGAAGAAGAGTGAGGGGAATGGGAGGTAAAGAGAAAGAGATAGAAGAATTAGGAGAAGAGAGCTAGTGGGAGAGACAGAGAGGGAGAGAAACAAGGGAATAGGAGAAGGGAAAGAGGAATAGCTTGAATCTCAGATATAACAGGCAGTGGGGGTGCAGAAAAATCACCCCTAAGCCCCCAGCCTACTAACAAATCCACAGGGCCCTCATTTAAACCAAGCCACACTTCCCTGAGCTCTAATCCTTACCTTGGCCATAAATGTCATATATAACCCTGCTGACAGGAGCATTTACACACTCCCAGTGAGAAAGAGGTGATTATTGCAAAGCTATTAGAAATCTCACCTCCTCCTATGAATCACAGGTAAGGCTCTACCCAACACCCATCCCTAGCTCTGAGAACTGAGAACCCCCAAGATCCTGACACCCATCATGCCCGCCATCCCTAGAGTCTTCATTCTCCCAAGCTCAGTGTCCCCACTTTCCTCAATTTCTGGTTAAAGTCATTCACACATCCATTCCTCAAACATTCATTGATCACACACTGTGCTGAAATCTATGGAAAGCACCATTATGAAGACCTGGGTTCTCTGTCCACCAGATTCTCTGGGAAGAGACTGACCAAACAAAGTAAGTCAGTCGCTTCTCTGTTTTATACATATTTCTTCCAACTCCCAACAAGCTGGAATCTATTCTTTGCACTGATCCTGGAGTCCTTTCTTTCCAAATACCCCTGAAACAATCTACCTTTCTCCATGCTCTGTCCCCAGCTCTGCCCTCTTTATTGATTGCCTGGATATTATAGGAACCTCTTCTTGGGTATCCTGGTCACCCTCCAGAGAACCTATGTAGAGGACTTTTGTAGAGAACATATTATCCCCTGCTTTGAACATGCTGGCGGATTTTCATCCCTTGCAAAGAAAACCAAGTTCTTTCTATACCCCGAGCTTCACTGATCTTTCCAGCCCTCTCCTAGGCTGTTTTCCCATCCCTTTTACCATAGTCCTTTTCTTCCAGTCATGGGCCACAGAGTGCCCCTGACGTCAGGTAATGTTGAAACCCTAACCCCCGGGACTACAGTTTGTGAGTGTGTGTAGAGACAAGGCAAGGTCTTTCTAGAGAAATTAAAGTTAACTGAGAGCATCAGGGTGGGCTCTAATCCAGTCTGACCTGCATCCTCATAAGAGGAAGACATTAGGACACAGATATGTGCATAGAGACAACTATATGGGGACACAGTAGATGATGGCCATCTAAATTCAAGAAAAGGAGCCTCAGGAGGAATACACCCTGCTGGTAGCTTGATATTGGATTCTTTTTCTTTTACTATTTTCTGCTGGTTTTTTTTTTCACAGAATCTCACGTGTAGCCCAGGTTGGCCTCAAACTTGAGATCCTCCTATTTCAGCCACCAGAGTGCTGAGATTACAGGCGTGTGCCACCACACCCAGTTTGATCTTCAATTTCTAACCTCCACAACTATGAAAAGATAAATTCTGTGGTTTAAGTCACCCAGTACTTTGTTAGAGGAACCTGAGAAAACTAATCCAGATTTTGGTGCCAAGAGTGATTCTAAAGGTACTTACAAATATCAGTCACAACCATAAGACCAGTTACAGAACTGAGAGCTAAAATAATTGTCACAAGTATCTCTCCCTTGATTGTTACACACATGTATGAGTATAAAATACTTTCTTCTACTCTCCTCTCCTACTCCCTTATCACATAAAATGTACCAATATTCAATTATAGTTTTTAAGTATTGTGAACTTCACATGGTACTATTTGGGTTGTGAGAGATCAAGGGGAGAGTAAGACATCACCTAAAAATGATACACCCTCTTCTAGGGAAAGGATTTGTTAGTTTCTGGTTGACACAAGATGGTTGTATCATGTTTTTTTTTTTTTTTTTTTTTTTTTTTTCAGTATTTGAGAATGTTTTATTTTTCACATATCTTACAGAATAATACATACTTATAATACATACTTGTGATCATATTACAAAATTACATACTTGTAATCATTGTACAGAAACGTTTTGCACTATTTTTTTCCACCTACATAGAAAACATAGCTTCTTTTTTTTTTTTTTAATAGTTCTTTTTTTTTTTTTTTTTTTTTTCTTTTATTATTCATATGTGCATACAAGGCTTGGTTCATTTCTCCCCCCTGCCCCCCCCTTACCACCCACTCCACCCCTCCCGCTCCCCCCTCAATACCCAGCAGAAACTATTTTGCCCTTATCTCTAATTTTGTTGTAGAGAGAGTATAAGCAATAATAGGAAGGAACAAGGGGTTTTGCTGGTTGAGATAAGGATAGCTATACAGGCATTGACTCACATTGATTTCCTGTGTG